CATCCTCATCTTACACACACATGCTTGCTTCCTATTCCCACTCTCCTCAGTTAATTTGTTGACCAAATGACCAAGCCAGCTCAGTCAGTCAACAGGGTCTCAAGGGAGGGGGTGAGGATTGAAAAGAAAAAGACAAACAATATTATAACATGACTCCAGCCAGTGCTGAGGCTGAAGCAGGTTTATTTTCCTGTCTGCTTTTATACCATTCTAGGTACATGCAAAGAATAGGGTCAGTTCTAGATCAAAGACAAAGTAGTTGAATAAGACAATAAAGTCCCGTGGTATTCAGGGACTTATCAAGGTGATCAATATCTTGAGCCTACTTCCATGTCCTGGCTTCATGTCAAATACCTGGCAAATTTCTAGAAGCGGACCCAAGAGCTCTCCACAACCCAAATTCCTTTTTCTTTTAAAAAATTTTTGTTTTACCTTAATTTTTATTTTTTATGTCTGCATATTCTGTCTGTATGTATGTCCATGGGCCACTTGTGTGTCTGGTGCCCACTGAGGTTCAGATCCCCTGGAGTTGAAGGCTTGTGAGCTGCATGGTCTGAGTAGCACTGGGAAGCAGATGAGTCCACTTGAAAGAGCAGTATGTGTTCTTATTAACCCCTAGCCATCTCTCCAGCTCCTGACCTATCGTTTGAACAGTTCTTATGAAACCAGTTGTCTTTAAATCTCCCTGATATGTTAGCTCTCTTCATCTCCAATTTTCTGAACCCCCATGCTGGGTCTGCAGACTTGGATTGAGCACGTGTGCAATATAGCTTATCTCACTAGATGCTGCAGAGTAGACAAAAGTGGACGTGAGTTCTTAGCTAGAGTGTGTGAGAAGTGTGGGGAGATGAAGCCAACAGACTCTTGGTGAACAGGCAGCGATATGCATCTAAGTTAGTCATAAATGACTCAAGAACGGCATTACAAATTTGAAGAACTAGCAGAATATTCTGGGGCCTTAATCTACTCACCTAGTTGGAAATAAAGCCTTCCCACGCCCTCAACAAACGTGTCCTCTCATACCTGCAGCCCTTGCTTAACTGGTGGGGGATGGACAATTTATGTGTCAAACTGCTCTTAACCACTAGGGGGCAAACTCTGCTATTATCATACAGTGGAACTGGAAAGCTGGAGTTCAGAGAGAGAGGGGGGAGGGGAGAGGGAGGGAGAGGGAGAGGGAGAGGGAGAGGGAGAGGGAGAGGGGGAGAGAGAGGGAGAGGGAGAGGGAGTGGGAGAGGGAGAGGGAGAGAGGGAGAGAGAGAGGGAGAGGGAGAGGGGGAGGGAGAGAAAGAGAGAGAGAAAGAGAGAAAGAGAGAGAGAGATTTATTCTCTGGGGACTGGGCCCAACCCCAAACCAGATAGATCTATCTGGGTAGGCCTATTTTCTTCAAGGTGTGCCTACAGACACCTGTAGATGGGACACATAAGTAAAGAGGACATATAGAAAGCTACTTAATACATGTCATATGGCAGATGAATAGTGAGTAAAGACTCTCTCTGTGTAATATCCACCTAATATGGATAGAGCTGTCTGCACCCTGGTGGAAGGCAACCAGTAATACTCACCTCTCTGATGGCTGCCTGAATACTTTTTTTTTTTTTTTTTTGTCTGCCTTTTGAGACAGGATTTCTCTGTGTAGCCCTGGCTGTCCTGCAACTCCCTCTGTAGACCAGGCTGGCCTCAAACTAAGAGATCTGTCTGCCTCTGCCTCCTAAACACTGTCATTAAAGGCGTGCACCACCATGTCTGACTGAGTCGGGAGTGTTTAATACTCATTTGACAGATGTATAGAAATTAAGTGCCTTTACCAAGATCCCAAAGAGGAATAGAATTTCTAATGTAAGTAGAACCAATCCAGAGCTCACAGCAAACCAGGCTCACTCCCAATCCACAACAAAAGAAGCTCAAATCTTGCTTGAATCTCACATTGGACTCTGGAATTTGCCACTAGACTACAGTACTGCCCTTACTGTAGGGGAAGAGCCATAGGAGCAGGACTCTGCCTTGTGGTTGTTTGTTCTGATCCTAATTACGGAAGTCTGAAGAACAAGTCACACACACTCACACATGCACAGATACACATATTCGCACGCGCACACACTACACTCTCGCACGCACACACATAAACATGGCCAGATGCACAAACCTGGGCACACACACACACACACACAGCCTCCGTTTCCCTACCTGTCAATAGAGACTATACTTTAAGGGCTGGCAGTGTGGCTTAGTTGATACAGTATCTGCTCAGCATGCACAGGCCCTGGGTTTGATCTCAGAACTAGATAAAGCAGGGGTAGTGACCCACACCTTGTAATCCCAACACTTTGGAGGTGAAAGGCAGGAGCATAAAGAGTTGGAGGCCAATGTGGGCTACATAAGACCCTGTCTAAAAACAACAAAAACCAAATGTAGTCTAAGTGTGGGGAGGGAACATGACCACCTAAAGGAAGGGTTCAGAAGATCTTTAAGAAAGCAGATGTTCTGTCCTCCCTGGAGGAGAACGTGGGAAGGACTGGAAGATCATGGGATATTGAATGAGTATGGGCTCTCTTTACAAATGTCCCATACTAGAACGAAAGCCTCTGTAATTCTACCAGAAAATGTGTGCCCCTGGAAAGCATTCGACTCACCCAGGAGAGTTAGCAAAACTGGTCTTCTCTGCTGGGAACCAGTAGTAAATCTCCCCTGGGACACATGTGTTAGGATTGGGCTTTAGGTAGCTCCAGATATCCTTAGACGCAATGGACATTTGGAATGTTCATGGTCTCCCCCCTGTAACAGGTCCACAGATCTTAGCGCAACTGACTCCATGATGGAAGTACTGTTCAGGCCGTAACACTCAGAGCATAGACTGTGCCATCTGCCGAAATGAAAGCAAAGACCTAATCCATAGTTCTGGGAAAGTCTTAAAATATACGAATCTTGCTTTTAGGCTTCTGTACTTGTGCTTCTGGCTAACGGTTCTTGCTCATTGAAGCATACCAACCCAGAAAATGGCTTTTGTCTTGAGAAAGGCTTGTTGCTACACTGGGATCCCTAACACCCACTGTAGTTGCCAGCTGGCTAATATAGACTTTGTATAGCTTAAATCTGTGTCTGAGCCACCTTGTCTGGTCTCAACGCCATCCGCTCAGATTAACTCTATTTTTAAAAGATTATTATTGTTATTATTATGATTTACATTATATCTGTGCATATGTGCTCACATGTCAGGAGGTGCCTGAGGCTGGAAGGATTCCCTAATGTTTCAGATGATTCTGAGCCACTCAGTGTGAGTGCCAGGAACTGAACCCAACTCCCCTGAGAAAGCAGCAAGCCCATCTCTCTTCACTACCACCCATTTGTGATTCTAATGTGCAAACTCAAGTTGTAAACACCACTCCAGAGCTTTAAAAAGAGGGGTTGGGGAAGACCCTCAAGGTTCAACGTGCGAACACACATGAATCACCCGGAGACCCTGTTAAAAATTCAGCTTCTAATTCAGAAGGTTTGGGCTGAGCCTGGAGAGCTGGGAATCTTCCCTTTAAGCAAGCTCAGGCAGGAGGCACGTTTACAGGTTATATAAACACAAGGAGCCAGAGGACGTGGAGTTCAAGGTTATCCTGAGCAGCCCTGTCTCAAAAAACAAACTAACCAACGAAACAAAATGCCAAAGCAAAATAAAAACACCACCAGGTTTCCAGAAGCCACCCAGGCTGCCGCTTAGACTGCTCTTATGTAGCTGTGTGGTAGCTTGAATGATGGGAAGTGATGGCTCTTCAGGCCAGCTGGGATCTTAGTTAACTGAGTTCTAAAAGGCTTGTTTTCTTGTCTATAAAACGAGGCAAGAAAGCTGAGGGCTTATAGCTCGATGTTTTCAAAGCCTTGAGTGCATGCACATACACGATACACATACACACATACAGACGCACACACAGGGCAAGCAATAGTAACTGCATGCTAGAATTCCCGTCATGCTCACGCAGGAAATAATGCACTAAGCATGTTTACCCCGTGCAACAAATGCTAGCCTTTTGTCAGGATAGGCAACATTTGCTGAACGAATTATCAGCCAGGGATTTTTCTAAGGGCTATTATTTCACCATCTACATTTTGCAAAAGAAACTGGGGTTCAGAAGCGATGTTCAATGGCCTATAGTTACACGCCTGAGTCGCTAAACCGGAATTCAACCTAAATTTTGGGTTCTTTATCACTGCAGACCCATGGGGTTGTGGAAGACCAGCGCAAGCCAGCATTCCTTCCCTGCAAGCCTTGCTTCCAGGCTGCTAAGAGGTGAGTCTCAGGGGGATCGGTAGGTGGCAGCGGAGGGCTAAGAGGCTGCCAGAATCACTCCGTAGTACCATTCCCAGAGCCAGCGCAGAGACTTGGTTCCACAGATTCCACTCCAGGCTGTGCTTCGCTCGCGGGGTTCCCTAGTGGGAGACCTCAGGGACCCATCAGAGACTAAAGAAGTTTATATACGAGTTCACCAAAATAAGACTTTGTCGGCGGGGAGATCTCTGAGAAAAGCAAGCTTTCCTTTCACCAGGCACGCCGAAGAACTGTCATCTGGAGAGCTCAGCCACGGGCGGGGAGCCCAGGCAAAAGGGAGAAAGTCAGGGATCTGTCTCGGCAGATCTGAGCATTTTGGGGACTCCGGGCCTTGGTGCACTCGCGCTGGCCCCGAGAAAACTCTGACCTCGGAAGGACGTGAGGAATCATCCAGCGAAGTCCTCTGGGAGTTGGGGGTGGGGGGGACAAATGAATTTAGGGGAAGTGTAGGGGTGGGGGCTAACCGGGCTGTTTCCATGGCACCGGGGACGTCGGAGAGGAATGTACCCCGATCTATGGCGAAACAAGAGCGGTGCCCTGCGAGCCCTGCTCAAGAAGGCAGGGGATCCTGGGTGGGAGGGGTTGAGGGGCGTGGGGAACCGGGCAGGCCGGGGGCGGGGCGGTCACGTGCGCCCGAGGGGGCGAGGCCCCAGCCTGCCCGGGAGCAGTTCGGGGACCAAACTTTCCAGGACGATCAACGCTTCATCGGGGCAGTCTGGAGCGCGTGACAAGGCGTCTGCGGCCGACTTGGGGGGACAACAGGTTCCCAGGGACCAGTGAGAGGAGTTTGGGAGTGAGTGTAGGAACCTGAGATCTCGATTTCTCCACCAACAGAGGTCCACTCTCGGACAAGTGTTCCCTCAGCTCTAGGGGGACAGGCAAAAGGCTGCTGACCCGTAAGACTGTAGGAGTCAGTACGCGCCTGGGATTCAGGAGCTCGCTGTGGTCATGGTGAATGAAAGTTTCAATCAGGAGGAGAGCAATGACAGACCTGCGCCAAAGTCCGAATTCCAGGCGGACACCAGCTACACCACCCAGCCCAGCGGCTCTATTCACCCCAGCGTCTCAGGCCATCCCAGCGTCTCCATCGACCCCAGCGTCTCTGTCCATCCCAGCGGTTCAGCACCCCCCAATACCTTGGCTCAACCCAGCGGTTTGACCCGTCACAGTAGCTCGGTTAGAGAAGACAGCGTGATCAAGGTGAGCAAGCGTCGCTGGGTCGTGGTCATGGTGTTCAGTTGCTACTCCTTGTGCAACGCCTTCCAGTGGATCCAGTACGGCTCCATCAATAACATCTTCATGAACTTCTACGGTGTCAGTGCCTTTGCCATCGACTGGCTGTCCATGTGCTACATGTTGACCTACATCCCTCTGCTCCTGCCCGTGGCCTGGATGCTGGAGAAATTTGGTCTTCGAACCATCGCTATCACCGGCTCAGCTCTCAATTGCTTGGGGGCCTGGGTAAAGCTGGGCAGCCTAGAGCCTCACCTCTTCCCGGTCACAATGGTGGGCCAGATCATCTGCTCTGTGGCGCAGGTCTTCATCCTGGGCATGCCCTCACGCATTGCTTCGGTCTGGTTTGGGGCTGATGAGGTTTCAACAGCCTGCTCCGTGGCTGTGTTTGGCAATCAGGTGAGTAGAGGGGTGTGTATGGGGGTGGCTGTTCCAAAGAGAGAGCACCTCTCCGTGATGGGACTGAGCATGTTACAGGATAGCTGAGTATGTGAGAAGCTGCAGTTTTCTGGTTTACAGCCTTTATGACTCTCGGGTGGCTTTGTGGTTGGGTATGGACTGACGACAGTGTAGTTGGGTGATTGTGACTGTCAGTGACATTGTAAGATTAATGGGGGTCACAAACAAAGGACGTTTTCTTTCATCTGCAGTAGCCAGTAGGAAACATTGTTCTAAAACATGGCCATCTATGATGGTGTTTCTCCCCCAGCCTTTATTAGTACACTAGTTTTATCTTTAAGAATGCTGGTGCCGGGCAGTGGTGCCGAATGCCTTTAATTCCAGCACATGGGAGGCAGAGGCAGGCGGATTTCTGAGTTCGAGGTCAGCCTGGTCTACAGAGTTCCAGGACAGCCAGGGCTACACAGAGAAACCCTGTCTCGAAAAACCAAAAAAAAAAGAAAAAAAGGAATGCTGGTCTTTCTCTGGTAGTGGTCTTTGTCAGGTGACTGTTTAGGTGTCCTTGATATTTATCAGTCAGTTTTAGCTGGATCAGCCAGATTTGCTAGAACTGAAGATCCTCACAGTGCACAGAACTGTGGACTGGGCTGCTCTTAGCTTTTACACAGCTGGAATCAGGACACCGGAACCAGGCTTTGTGCTAAACTCCCTCTGTGAGGTTTAAAGCCAAGTCCAGCAGGAGAGAGTAGAAATCTCACTGTGAACTTCCAAGAAGGCTTCTGGTCTAATCATCTCCTGTCTTTCTCCTTTTTTTCCTTCTGGGGTCAAGCAATCCCACATTCTTATGACCTTAGTGTGGTTTTCACCTAGAAGCCCGCACATGTTATGAATCTGATTGCTTTCTCTATATGTTTGAGGCAAAGCAAATGGTTATGGGTGCTTCTTTAATCGGAGCCTGGGCCCTCAGATTCATTTCTTCCGAGTGCATGATGTCCAAGCTGCTGCTGATAGATCGCCAGTCACACTTAGGTCTCATGAGCCTGTTTTGTCTTACCAGCTCACTTAATTTAGAAAGTGTGTGTAGCATCTGACTTAGGCAGAAACATTCTAAAACTTCTCTAAAGACAGATTTCTTTTTCTTTCTTAAGTTAAAAAAAGTGTTTGGGCTGGAGAGATGGCTCAGTGGTTAAGAGCACTGACTGCTCTTCTGGAGGTCATGAGTTCAAATCCCAGCAACAACATGGTGGCTCACAACCATCTGTAAAGGGGTCTGATGCTCTCTTCTTGTGTGTCTGAAGAGAGAGCAATGGTGTACTCATATACATAAAATAAATATTTTTAAAAAATGTTTACTTGCTCATTATGGTGGTGCAGGTCTCTGTTGAAGGATGTGGTGAGTTCCAGGCCTGCTAGAGCCATAGAACTATTTGCATAATTTCTCCTTGCGAGTTTTGTTATTTTAAAAACGGAATTGACTTAAGTCTGGAGATGAGCCAGACAGTGATGGCTCATGTCTTTAATCCCAGCACTTGAGAGGCAGTGGCAAGTGGATCTTTGTGAGTTCGAGGCCAACCTGGTCTACATAGTGAGTTTCAGGACAGCTAAAGCTACACAGAGAAATCCTGTCTTGAAAAAAGAACCAAAACAAAAGTCTATAGATGAAGAAACTAGACGGACCTTTGGTTAAGGACAAACTACAGAGACATTGAGGGCTGGAGAGATAGCTCGGCAGTTAAGAACATTTACTATTCTTGCAGAGGACCTGAGTTAGATTCCCCACACCCCTCTTGGATGGCTCACAACTACTTGTAACTCTAGTACAAGGGTATCTGATGTGTCTGCCCTCCTAGGGCATCACAAGTTATAGCAATAAACCTTTAAAAATAGACTTTAGAAAAAGGTAGACATTGAACTGGGTATAGTGGTACATGCTTAGAATCCTAGCACTTGGGAGGGATACGCAGGAGGATCGGGAATTCAAGGTTATCCTAGGCTACATAGTGAGTTCAAAACCACTTGTGACTCTGTCTCAAATATATATAAATGAGTATGTGAATAGTATTTGTCAATTCTTTTTTTTTTTTTAGATTTATTTATTTATTATATATGAATACACTGTAGCTGTCTTCAGACACACCAGAAGAGGGCGTCAGATCTCATTACAGATGGTTGTGAGCCACCATGTGGTTGCTGGGATTTGAACTCAGGACCTCTGGAAGTGCAGTCACTGCTCTTAACCACTGAGCCATCTCTCCAGCCCCGTATTTGTCAATTCTAAGTTCTTAAGGTAATACGGCTGTGAGTTTTAAATCTCTAGCCTGGAAGGTAGACTTGTCCCTTATTGGGTCTAAGACTGAGTGAGGATAAGTCTATCTTCCAGAAATCCCTCATTCTATTAGCAATAATAGCATTCATAGAAGGTGGTATAACCCAGTCCTCCCATTTGGGAAGAGTTAGAAGAAGTTCTCTCTGTTTACCTGGGGACATCCAAGTTGTTTGTTTTTGAGACAGGGTTTCTCTGGGTAGCCCTGGCCGTCCTGGATCTTGTTCTGTAGACCAGGCTGGCCTTGAACTCAGAGATCTGCCTGCCTCTGCTTCCCAGTGCAGGGAGTAAAGGTGTGCGCCACTGCTACCACCCAGCTCACTGTTGTCATTATTAGTCCTAAGGCACAAAGTAGCCCCTTGGCCCACACCTCTGAAGGACATAATCCTGGATATGTTGTTAAAATTTAAGGGAAATAGTTATTCATTTCCCATTCTACCCTCCTACCCCAACAAGGTCAAGGAAAGCTAAGGAATTTACATTTAAAAATACCCTGGGGCTGGTGAGATGGTTCAGCGGGTAAGGGTACTGGCTGCCAAGCATACCACCAAACATGCCAACCCGAATTGGGTCTCCTGGATCCACATGATGGGACGATCCTAATGCCTGACTTTGACCATTTAATTCCCGGATAAAAGACACACACACAACCTTTATATTTACAAAAAGCTCAAGAGCTGGGCAGATATCTACCCTCTATGCTATTAAACTGTGCTTTCCTATGATAGCCCCATATTACTTATTATGTTTCTTTCATCTGGGCTGCTCTTAACTCCAATTGGCCAGCCCTCAGGGCTATGTTTTCATGACTCATCTAACCCATGGTGACTTCTCTCTCCTCTTTCACCTTCTCCCCCTCGTGGTTCTCCTTTAAGCCCCAATGCCTAAGAATCCTAAAACCCTCCTATGTCTCTTCTGCCCAGCGATTGGCTGTCAGCATCAGAAATAACTTGCGTGCAATGTCAAATAGTATCACTAGGGTCTATGCATGACTTTCTCCTCTCTGGGGCAATCAGATCTTGAGGAACCATTATTAGCATTAGAATACAAGCAGTCAGTATCAGCTCAATCCGCTACACAAACTTCTGCAGTCTTAATTCTTCATGGTTAGCAAACTTCGCTTTGGCCTTGCCAGTGTAAATCACCTCATTTTCAACCCGGTGGCTGAGGAAGCAGAATCAAAGAGAGAGATTTTTCCAAAGAATACTGATATTTGTGAATAGAAAAATATTAAAAATGGTATGCCATGGTAATCTGTCCACACACGCAAACAGGTAGAGGATAAGGAGAGTTTTCAAATTACATTTTATTATTTTGTGTGTAGAAGTATGAGCATGTGCCATAATGCATGTATGGAGGTCAGGGGACAATTTGTATTCTTTCTACCATGGAGGTCCTGGGGATAGAACTCAGGACCTCAGGCTTGTTGGCAGGTGCCTTTATCCACCATCTTTCTGGTCTGGGGAAAAGGGGAGTTTTAAAAGACACAAACAGAAAGGACTTCATCAGAAAATTTGAATTAACAGACTCTGGACACAATGATTAATATCAATAGTGGTGTAGGTCTGAGTCTGAACGCACAAATCCTGGGCAGATATTGTCATGAAATGTTGTTCATGGGATGCCACCCTGGTGCTAGGAATGTCACACAGTAGTAGAGTGCTTGGTTAGCCTGTGTAAGATCCTGGGTTTGATCCCTGGCCCTATATAAGAGCAGTGACCTCTGTAAGGTCAGGATCTAATTGAAGATCTTGTGGTCATTCCCGAGAGACAAACAGTTTCTATTCACAACCCCTTTATAGACCTTTGTTTGTTTGAGACAGATTCTTAGTGAGTCCCAGCTGGTCTGGACCTGGTTAAGTAGACTAGGTTGGCTTTGAACTCAGATTCCCCCCACCTCTGCCTCCCAAGTGCTGGAATTGCAAGCAGGTCCCACCAGGCTGCCACTGGTTACTTGTTACTCTTGTTTTGTTAAGGTTGACACAAATGGCTACTTTGATCCTGAGAACTTTCCTGTTTCTTTCCCACAGTGGGAACCTGGCCTCTCTATTCCATTCTATAAAATACTTGTGCACTTGCCACAGCAACCCATGTCTATTAAATTCAGCTCTCAGACACTTACTGACCACCTCATCACGCTAACTGACCACCTCATCTTTGCTGGACTCTAGGTAAAGGCCATGAAACTGTTGTCTGCCTTTCACAGACTTCCTCTGTGTAAAATGCAAACTGAATTCCTAGACTCAGAAATAACACAACAGGTTGTAGCAAAGCTTTACTTTTAGTTCTGTATGACATCTTTTTTTTTTAGTATTTTCTTGGCTGCTGGCTACTGGAAAGTGGAAAGAAGGTAATGTCTATAAAACACCTAAATTGTGCAAAGTACTTTTTCATCCTTTTTTTTTTTTTCAGTTTAATCTTTTCAGCAACTCTGGTGAGGTAGGTAGTATTGTCCCTGTGGTTACAGATGAGGGAACTGAGAGGAACAAAAAGAGTGAGCTTAACCACATTCTTGCAGCGGCTGGATGGTAACAGGAGAGTTGAGCCAGTTCTAACTCTAAAGTCCAAAATGTCAGTAAGCCAACACTGACTCTTCATGGGGGAAATCCAGTGTATTTTTTAAAAAAATAATGATAATCAAATGCAGGGCAGTGATGGTGAAACCATTAACCTCAGC